ACCTTTAGCATCGCTGTCTTGGCAGCCCCATCTCTAAGCATCAGCCTTCAACATGCAGGTTAAGTTCCTGCATGACTGCCTCAGAGTCTCCAGAATCCATCACGTATTTACATTACAGTATTGACCACTGGCGGTAACTGTGTCTAGTTCCTCAGGAGTCAGGAAACTACTGAAAAGGAGAAACTACTTACCTTGCTTACTCCTGTTTTCCAAGCTCAGAGCCTCTTCACCATTCACAGCCACTTGAAAAAGTAAGTCTGGGTAAAGCTCAGCTTTCATTAGAGAAGGCAAAAACCAATTTTATTTCGGAGCAGAATGTAAATATACCAGGAAAGGAGCAGCCCCTCTTAAAGCAAAAGGCCCACTAAAGCTGTCAGTTCCAAAATCTTACAGTTAAAAGATGGAGAGACTGGCTCGAAGATCTCCGTACAAACTAGAACTTGAGAGACAATTATTCATACTGCTGTTTTGTAAGAGAATCTTTAACCTGACTGTTAATCATAACTTGACAGCTACAAACTCCATACTATGTTAGAACTCGGCAACAGCAAACCTATATCGAAACTCTTTGCTTTCAATTGCTACTTTTAGTTGTGTTCACTGAAAGGGGAATTGTTACAGTACATATATGTGTGTTTACTAAGGAAGCCATTCAGCTGCTTTGGAAGGTCATGGAATGAAGTGGCCAACAAAAATAAATGCAAGCTCTAGCTTGTGGGTGCACTCAGTTTCTCACCTTACAGCCACCAGCAGAGATAGTTACTGCTTAAACAGGGGGTCCACGTGGATTTAAAATGAACCTCTGTGGCCAGCAAGCCATAGTTTCTATGTATGTAAATTCATGGTGGCACAAGATCCCACTTACTCATGCACCTTTCCTACAGATCATCAGAGTTTCAGAGTAAATTAAATTCCATAAGCACCAGGTATTCTGCTGAGCATCTTCAGAAATACACATAAGGGTAAAACCGTACAACCATAGATTTTTTTTTAAGGACTCAGAATCTAGAAGAGGAGCGTATAACTTAGAGTGTGTGAAATGTGCGATAAAGACTACAAAACGGCCACAGAGAGCTGTGCTTGTTTAAAGAAAACCATGAGTGATCCAGAAATAATTTCAAGAGCTAGAGGGTAGCTCAGCCACAGAGCATATGTATAGCATGTACAAGGCCATGTGTCCCATTCCCAAAACTGGGAAGGAAGAAAGGGAGGGGTCGAGGAAGGGAGGAAGAATCTGTCAGCTGATTTCATTAAAGTGTGGATGTTGTTAGATAATAGGGAGAATTTTGAATGGTGAAATGGCTCAGTGGATCACTCCAAGGTGCAGGCAATGACATCTACAAAGAAGGAAGATGTAACTAAATTGCTAAAAGGCCATGTAGTGCATACGGACTAGGTTTTAGGAAGCACTTGAGAATCTAGCCCCTGGATACAATGGAGAGCCTTCCACATGAGAGTGGATTTGGGGAGCTACTGCTCTAAGTTTTTGAATAGAGAAATATGGGATACAAATAAGTCCACTTTAGAGGTGGGAAGAGTGCTCAATCAGTAAAGTGCTTGCCACATACACATAAGAATTTGAGTTCAGATCCCCGGTATCCACATGAAAAGTGGGGTATGGTAGCATACACTTGTAATCCCAAAACTGGATTAAGAGGAGACAAAAGGATTTCTGTGACTCTCAAGCCAGATAGTTTTGCTCCGTTGATGAGCCTCCAATTTGGTGAGAGATCCTGCATCAGAAATGAAGGTAGAAAGAAACAAAAGAAGACACCTTACACCGACTTCCAGCTTCTACATGCATACATGCATATGCATGCTCGTGCACACACACATGCATGATCACACATATGTACGTGTACCTACACACATACACATGTACACTAGTCCACCTAGAAGATCTGTACTTGGTTTTAAAAAAAGACAGTGAGTTAGCCTCAGAGACACTAATGCTACAGTCAACATCTTGAAGGGAAGGGATGTACTTTGATTATGGTGCAAGGACTAAGGAAGCAGGAAGGTCTGAAATTGGTGCCTTAGTGATGGTTTCTATCCCCACGTTCAACTCACCAATCTGTGAAATGAGAAGTGGTAGCAATTTACTGACTGGAAGCGTTCTCAACAAAGACAATGCCAGACAAAAATGCCTTCCTCTCTCTAGCAGATCATCTTTTCTATTGCAGAGTAATTTTGTCAGCTGATTATATGTCTTAAGCACAAGTAGAAATTTCTAGCCTAGTTCTGCTGAGACCTTAATTGTAGAGCCTGAGCCAGGTGCTCCGTTCCTAATACTTATCTTCAAATGTGGCCGTTCCAAAGGCTGTTTTGACAGCCGTGGTCTGATTTAGCTTTAAGGTTTCCCTAAGGAACAAAACCACACCACTTTACCTGTTTTCTCCAATACTAGGGAGGGTTCACAAAGACTTTGTCCATGGCCACAGCATTCACCGTCCACCTTCAGCTTTGTTTGCAGGGGGTAGAGTGAACTTCCAAAGTCTCAGACATACAGAAGCTTGCAAGATTCACTTAAAGATAGAATTAATGAACAGGCCCATGTCTTAAAAGAATCCAATCAAAGGCAACTGTGCTAGGAGCACTCCATATACTTCCTTTGGGCTTTTGTAGACACACACTCTTTGACAGTCTAGGAATAAGAAATCAGCAGCCCAGAAAAGCCGCATCAAATTCAGCTTTAGAAGAACTCCAGAGAGCTTCTCCAGGTGGGAATAGGAAAGATTTGCCATTTCTCTGATAAGAGTTGCTCTAAAAGCTCAGAGCTTTACATAATTAGGATACTGATGGGGTCCTACATCCCTAACTTCCTTTTTGTGAAATTTCACATCCAAATCTTCTTTCATGGGCTCTTCCTAGAGACATGAAGTCCACATCCTAGAAGGAGTGCTTCTGAGATAACTTTTAAAACATGTCACCCCACAACTAATAATGAACTCGGCCAATGCCATATGCCTCCAGATGTACAAGTCTAGAGCATTTTCCCTTCCCAGACTTTTACAATCTCTGGCTCAGACTAAAATTTCCTCTGTTGGATTCAACAGCCCCAGCAGAGCTCACTTCCCAAGATACTCCATTGATATGTGCCAAGAGAGGACTCCAATTGGAATAGTATTCTGTAGTTTAGAAAGCAAGGGGGTGGGGTATAGGAGAGGACTTGGAGGGCAAAAAGGGAAGGGGAAAATGGTATAATTATAGTATCAAAAGGTAAAATAAATATTTCTTAAAGAAACAGGCTAGAAATAGACTAGAAAAAAATGGGAGTGGGGCCTCCAGGGATGTGCTTCTGCAAAGCTTCAGTTTATCTGAGTGGAGCCAGATGGCAGGTGAGGAACCAACAGGAGGGTGGCAAAGAGGAACCTGGTGGCTGCCTGGCTGATGGGAGGAGGGCCAGCAGGCTAGCAGACTGAGCCAAGAAACCCAAGGGCAAGTCTCAAACATAAGCAGTAGCAAGTGCCTGAGCTGGCAAATCTAGGATTCTGTGGGTGTCTGAGGCTTGGCAGCAAGCTATACTATATAAGGGTAGAGACAGAACGGAGCAGGGAGGGGAGAGGAGGAGAGGGGAGGAGAGCGAATGAAAAGGGAGCCTCTCTGGGACAGGCTCAACCAGAGGTTGAGATTCTTTAGTTTAAACTGTCTCTCCTCCTTCCCCTCTAAGCTCCCTTTAACACAGTTATTGTGAGGGGGGGTAGGGGGTAGGTGTGGTGGTAAGTGGAGACATCAACATCATTAAATGGCATTTCTCTAGCAACTAAAATAAAGCCTCCTTTGTACTTTGCCCCTAATCAGTTCCTACAAAACTTCAAACCTGTAAGCATTAGCACAAAACACAAATGCTTCTGTCTTTTAACTCACATGTCATCCATCCATCCATCCATCCATCTATCCATCCATCCACTCATTTGGAGCATTCAAAGACCAAAAACCATTCCTACATCTACCCAGCTCCCTTCCTGGAGATTTCTCCTCAAGCCCCAGATTTAAACTGTCCATAGTGATGTCTAACACAAAGGCGATTATTTGCATACATTATAATGCATGACCCCACTTTTCTATTAACAGAAAGCTAAACCGCCTGCATAGATTGGCTCTTCATTCCAAGGCCACAGGGATGCAGAGCGTGTAGCCCTGCCCCTCTGACACTCTGTTAGCCTAAGATTTCATTGTGAGGAGGTTAACTAGATATTTTTAAAAGAGGCATTTTCAAAGAGAAATTTCCTTGTACTGTGAAAACCCAGTAAATACCAGGGTCCCCTTAGATGTTGGAGACCACGCCCTCCAGCACAATCCTGCTCCTTTCCTGCTTTCCCTGGTGCTAACCAAGTGCATGCCACATGTCACCACTCTCAGCTGGCACTTCTCCCTTAGAGAAGCAAACTTTCTCGGAATCCCAGAGTTTGGTGCGTGGGGCAGGGCGGTGGGGGGCGGGGTGGGGGACTGGACGGGAAGACTGGACAAGAGGATGCACGAAGGCTCTTCGGCTAGGCATGTAAAGTCCACAAGAATTTTGGAGACGCTCAGTTCCAGAGGGGGGGCCAAATTTGGGGGCTTCTTCCAAAAATAAGCTGCCAGGCCCAGAGCGCTGACAGCCATCAAAACCCTGTGAGGGGGTGGGGTGGGAAGCAAAAGAAGCTATGCGGTGTGGTGAGAAAGAAGCAACAGAGCCCGTGGCCAAACTTTCTATTCCAAGAGGGTTTGATTTAAATCTTGGAGCCCTGGGAGCAGAAGGTGCTCAGGCTCGGGCTCCAGGCGCTGTGCGATAGAACTCAGTTCTATCAGGAACCACACTCTTCTTTCAGACCCGCTTCCTGGGACTGCGAAAGCCAAGTTAAAGAGTAAACAAAGGGAGACAACCCCCCCCCACACACACACACACGCGCGCGCGCATCTCCTTCTGTTCCAAGCGACGACGGCTTTCAGCAGACGGTTCTGGTTCCGAGGTTCCTAGCTGTCTAACTGGGGAAACACCCCCCATCCCTAGCTCCTACCTGGGAAGCCCTGGCTCAGCGGGATGTGCAGCAGCGCCAGTAACAGCAGCAGTGCTCGAGGCAGCAGCAGAGCGGGCCGGAGTCCCGGGCTCCCCATGGCGAGCCGGCGCTTCCCCCGCCAGGCAGGCTGCACAGCGCACTTAAGGGGCTGGAGGAGGCCAAGAGACTGAGGGGCTGTGTAGTGAGCCAGAGCCTCTAAAGCCAGGCTGGAAAACTCCTCCTTGGCGGCTTCCTTCTTTCCCTCCCTCCAGTCAGGGGCCTGCCCTCCTTCCTCCTCCTCCCTGGAAGGCAGAGCAGTTCAGGGCTCCCCGCCCCACCATTTGCCCACCCCCTCTTTTTTGAGCCACCCCTTCTTTCTGGAAACCGGGCTGTTTCCCCTCGGAGATCTCCAGCTAGAGGCCCTAGAAACCCATTACATCCAAAGTATCCTTTGCTCCATGTGCAAACCCCTCAGCCCCAAGACACAAACTAGTGGCTCCAGCACTTCAGGGATCCTGGGCCCTTGGACTGAACCCGTGCCTGCTCCAGGCAGAAGCCCTTGTGGGTCACATAGAAAAAGTGGCAACCTAGGAGTTGAGAGTTTCCCTCTGAAGCTGGATACCATGGCCCTGCTGGCTGGTTTGACACTCAAGACTATGCCCGAAGTTCATTATTATTATTATTATTATTATTATTATTCCAGGAAAAAGCAGAGAGTCAGGAACTTGATTTGGACAGACCCGGGATTGGAAGCAAGATATACGATTATCCCATTACCAAGGCCCATTCTACAAGGTTTTTGTTGTTGTTGTTTGTTGGTTTGTTGGTTGGTTGGTTGGTTGGTTGGTTTCTCTTTTGCAAAAGGCTAGGCCTGGTGCATGTGTGCTGTGCTGCAGTTTAGAATGGAATTTAAGGGCCAGCTGATGGGGAACAAGAGAGACAGGAAGTCCTCTCCCTACCCACAACCTCACAGATTCAGCGGATTGTTTCCTGTAGCCAGATCTATCCATCTCCTGAGTTGTTCTCAACCACCCCAAGAACAGCAGGATCAGCCCAGAGCCTCCACCCGATGAGTTGGCATGGCTACATTCTGGCATCAAGATAAGGTTTCTAGGCTGCTCCCAGGATGGATCTGGTTTCTTGGAGGCATTTGTGGAAGACAAAACCCAGCCAGTTACCATTGGGTTCACAGAGCCCCGTGACTAGACAGGAATCTTATCCGCTGCAGAACGACATCCTTTTCCTTGCCACAGTGGTCCCTTACGTAGGCCAAGGTCTTTGGGAGCAATGACTCAGATCTTTAAGTCGTTTAATCGAACAGGCCTTTCCCATTTCTAAATAAACCCCCAAACTTGGGCCTCCATATAATCTTCTTCAGCATTTGTGAATACTTCTAACTCCTTTGGGTTTTTGCCATTGATGCTACTTTCTTCAGGAACCCTCCAGTTGTGAAATATGGAGAAGACTGGGCCCTTCTGTGGCCTCCCTCAGATCAGATTCTTCAGAGAATAATTTTCAATTTTGTCACAGACTGACCAGGACTCCAAAGGAGCTTCATGAAAAAGAACTAGAAAACATCATCCTGAGTGAGGTAACCTCGACTTGTAAGTCATATTAACCACAAATAATTATGTTACAATTGGCAGACCTAGAGAAGCTAAGTAAGGCTGAAGGGAGGAATACATGAATCTCACTGTGAAGGGGAAACAGAATAGACATCACAGGAGGGGTCTCGGTACGGGAGTGGGAACAGGATGGATCAGGTGTAGGGAGGACAGAGGGAGAGAGTACTGGGATAGACGATTGGAATTGGGGCGGGGTGGGGGAGTATTTCTGGGAAGAGCTAGAAAGCTAGTGCACTGGAAACTCCCAGGAATTTATGAGGGTGACCCTAGTGAAGACTCCTAGCAAAGCAGGATATGGGGTCTGAACCAATCGGCTCCTCTAACCAGGTAAGACTTTCAATGGAGGGACTGGGACACTAACCCAGCCACAAAACCTTTGACCTACAATTTTTCCTGCCTCAAGATGTGCTGTGGTAAAGGTGGCACAGAACATGTGGAGATGGTCAATGACTGGTCCAGCTTGAGACCCATGCCATGAGAGGGACCCCAGTCCTAACACTTCCTGGAGGGCCAGGATCCAGAGGTTAGAGAGCCCAGAGACTTAAGATAGAACCACAAATGACTAGCAAAAGAAGCCAATGAAATGATTCCTAATTGTATTCTGCTATGCTCATAGATTGGTGCCTAGGACGACTGTGGTCAGAGAGGCTTAACTCATCAAGTGATGGAAATAGGTGCAGAGAAGCACAGCCAAACATTAGGAGGAGCTTGGGGAAGGAGGAGGTGGGGAAGATTGAAGGAGCCAGAGGGGTCAAAGATACCACAAGAAAGCCTACAGGATCAACTAATCTGGGCTCGTAGGGGTTCAGAGAGACTGAACCTTCAAGCAGGGAGCCTGAATGAGACTGACCTAGGATCTCTGCATATATGTTACAGTTATGTAGCTTGATCTTCCGGTGGGACACCTGATAGTGAGAGGAGGGGCTGTCTCTGACTCTTTTACCTACCCTTGGGACCCTTTCCTCCTACTGGGTTGTTCTCTTGTCTAGCCTTAATAAAAGAGGAGGTGCCTAGTCTTACTATATAACCTTGTTATGCCATGACTGGCTGATATTCATAAGAAGCCTGCACTTTTCTAAAGAGAAATGAAGGAGGAGTGGCTGGGGAAGGAGAGGGGGATAGTCCTAGAGGAGAGGAGAAAGGAGAAACAGAGGTTGGGATCTAAAAATTAATTAATTAATTAATTAATTAATTAAAAGGATTTAATAAAAAGATTAAAAAGTTAAAAAGGCTATGCAAAGCAATAGAGCATTATTTAGAATAACTAAATTTAAAAAAATAAAATGAAAGATACTGGCCTGAGCCAATGAAATTAAAATCCTTGGGGATGTGATGTAATGCTTGAGCTGATGTAATGTTTTACTCTTCACTGCTCAGTGGTACTGGTTTTGGATTCTATACCAAGTTCATGACTAGACTTTCTCAAGCTCGGTGCTATTGATTTTGGAGCCTGAAGCCTGCCTCCCTGGGGAAGGGCTTCCTTGAACAATAAATATATTTAGTAGCAGACTCAGCACTTATACACCAGATACCAGGAGCAACCCTCAATGCCTAGTTTTGACAAATAACAATTGTCTTGAGACATTCCTTAATATCCCACATATCAAAAATTGCTCCCAGTTAACAACAGTTATTCTTGGTCTACAAGCAAGGACCCGTTTAATCCTAGCACTTGGGAGGCAGAGGAAGGCCGATCTCTGATTTCAAGGCCAACCCAGTCTATGGAGTGAGTTCCAGGACAGCCAGGGTTTTACAGAGAAACCCTGTCTCAAAAATTAAAAAAAAAAAAAACACTCAGTTTAGCCAGATGTGGTAATGCAAACCTCCAATTGCAGCAAGATTTCAAGTTTGAGGCCAGCCTGGACTACATAGGAAGACCCTGATTCTCACATTGTTATCCAGACCAAATTGTAATTGGATTCTCATTTACTGTTGTTGTTGTTGTTGATGATGATGATGATGGTGATGATGATGATGTTATTCCTCTATTCCTCTGATACCTTCAAAGGTATCAGGGCAGAAGGAAGGTGAAGAAGTGAACTTAAAAGCCTATATTACTCTATCTTGACAGACAACACAATATTTAAGTAGGAACATAATCTGTCAAATAAGTTATAAACTAATGAGTTGATGAAAAGGAGTCACTCAGAGAGTACCACGTGAACCCTGATCTTAACCCTGTATTGCTCACCGCGTTACTATTAGTAAATGAAGACAAGGATTCTGGTTTTCAACGTGAAGCCAGGAGAACAACAAATAATTTCCAATTGTCTGCACAGCAGAGATGCTGGACTGATGTGAAACATGAAAACATAAAAGGATAAATATGATGCCCTGTTTGAGATTTCAAAAATCAACCAAACTTGAAAAATCCAAGGACATTTAGAAATCAAGTGTTTTTCTCCCTCCATGAAGCATATAAAGATGTGTCATATAAAGTATTTATTTAACAATATGCATAGTAGCAAAAGGTGAGTGGTTTTTGAACATATCAATAGTCTGTAATAGGAGAATCATTTTATTAATTATATGTATGTATATATATGACTAAATACTCTGTGGCCTTTAAAATGAATGAACAAGATGCCAATGTGCCTATACAAAATGCATTCAAGATATCCTACACAATGAAATAACAAGAAGCAAAATAATGATTCTATTAGGCTGACCTTTGTGGTTGGAGAAAGCAGGGTAACAGTACAGTATGGGGAAGGCAGAGTAGAAAGAGTTGATATTATAAAATCCTCTGTACTGTTGAAATGTTTAGGTATGTGATATTTCCTTTTTATTATTACAAAAATAAACCACTGAAAATGTTTTTTGAAAACACACAACTGACATGATGGTGTTCACTTGAAATCTCAGCTCTCAGGAAGCTGAGGCAAGAGGCTTGTGAGTATAACGCCAATCTGGGCTACATATGGACCCTATCAAGGGAGGGGACAAAGTATCTTCACAGCATACCAGAACCACGATAGCAAAGCTGCTCACAAGAAAATTTCAAGGTCCCTCAGGGTTATACAGACATCTGTCCAGTGCTCTGAACAATTCCTTGACCCTGGGCAGAGTGGCAGTGAGAAAGGATCACAGACATCACAGTCTTGCAGATATGACAGTCATCTGCAGTGCTAGATGCAGAATTCAAGAATTCAAAGCAAATTGGACCACAAAGAACACAAAAAGGGGAATGGATTCTCAGAATTTACTCACTCTTTCTTCCCTGAACTTGTCTACTGAGAGCCAGCACTAGAGGAAGACCTGACAGTCATTCACATACTACAGGAAAGGGAGGGCCTAAGAAAGTCAAAGTCAAGGCCAGCTCCTCTCTAGTCTATCCAGTCTTCCATACCTCTTTATTCTCCCATCCTCTTAAACCAGATCTCTGGTTCATCCCTTTCCACATCTTCTCAAGATAAATGGATGGGAAAAGGAACTTTAAATGACTCATCCATCATTCCTTAGAAAATGAGTCATCATGATGGTAAAAGCCAGGAACCTCTCCTTGGTTTTCATCATGTTCAGGTGTACTGTACTGATGCT